ATGTACAAGGAAGCAAGTTACCTTCACTTTAAAGTCAGAAAATCAGACTTTAAAAAAAAAAAGAAAAAGAAGTGAGATAAAAGGTTCTGACACGACTCAATGGTTTGCCTCTGAGAGCTGGAGATTAAGCCCACAAACTTCCTCAAGTGAAACATTACAGTGTTAGGATAAACAGAACAGCTCCAGAAAATATTGGTCAATTATTTTACACCTCGGGGGTGCATGGTGAGACGGATGCCATGGCAACTACAACTAATCACAGAGAACATCTCAAAAGCAAGCGATTACTACAAGAGCTGATGATTACTTTTGTTGTTGTCCAATTGTCTGGTCAGCAAAAGGTCCGAAAATACTAAAAAATAAATAAAAAAAAAGCCTAAGGGATTGTCATGACATTATCTCTGTTGTCAGATAGAAACTCAAAACCCCCAAAGATATTCACTTCATCATACAAACAAAAAAGAAGAAGCTGCAACCTCCTCACAATGGAGCTAAACTATGAAGTGTTTTATATTTCTGCTTGAATGAAGTGGCAATAACTGAATCATGAGAGATGCTGATTCATTTACTGTCCATCGTCTCGTCAACTATTCAGCTATTTGCTTGATTCAAAAGAAATAAAAATGAGTAGAATGACGAATAATTATCATTTTATCATCAAATCCTAAAAAGGCAACAGAATAAGACTCGCATACAAACCTTAAAGGGATCAGAATCAGAGAACCAGAGCGTCATCGTCAGCAAAGCAGCAGCTCTGCGTGGGGGTGTGTTACGTCAGAGATGGAAAGTGGAACAGAAACACATCTCAGCCTGCAGACGGAGGTTAATCAATAAAAAGAAACACGTTAATACAATATTAATAACTTCTAATCAATCTGAACTTTCAAATTCAGACTGATGCATTGCGCTGCATCAATAGTTCTCCACACTCCTACACACCACCGTCATGCATTTATGTTCTAGTGAAAAATTAATAAGTAGCAAACCACAAGCAAACATGAAGTGCATATTGTTATCATAGAGATATATAAATATACCCAAAGCTTATATTAGAGTCCAACATGTCTCCTGTTGTGTCTGAGGTTCTCTCATTAAAGCAGTTTTGTTTAAATATTTTCTAATTCAAGGTTTCACGTCTGTGAGCTGCTTCTGATTATGTCTTCACTCTTTACAGATCAGGTCGTTTTACATTCACATTCCCTCTGACTGGTTTCTTTCAATTTGTGACATTTTATCAGCGTAGCTAGAGGCCTCGGTGACCCAGTTCTCTTTATAGGCCATTAAGTGTGAAACAATTTAGAAGATCTGCATACGTGTAATTGGGCTACAGACAAAAGTGCCAAGGCCAAATGGTGACAGCAATGTCAGACAGCGCTTTGGTCTGAAACAAGAATCCTCAATTATAGGAGAGAAGAGGTTGTTTTTAAGTGCTACACCCTCATGACAGAAAATATCTGTGTTCAAAAAAATTCAAATGGTGCGAGTGGATTGCCATTCAATGCGACGAGAACATTTGTGCTCCTCAGGAGTTGAACTCTCTCCAGTTTTGACCGGTTTTGGAAGCTCTTTTCTTACATCGCCCTCCGGCAAATTAAAAATGACAATTTGTTCGGTTCAATTTTTTTGAAATATCGTCATATTTCCGCATAATTTGTATTCCAAATCCAGAAGGTGTTCAAATATTTTAGAAGATAAGTCAAATTTTGACATGCCATTGGTGCTCAAGCCAAGGTCAGATCTATCCTCTGTCAACCTTGAATTTATTTCCAATTTGTCAAAAAAGTTAAGATATTTTAGTACGACCAAAGTGTTTGACATCAACTAAGCACTGAAGTATCTTACAAGACTGGTAAAGACCAACCTGACTAACTGTTGGTGAAAAATGAGACAATTCATCATCATAGGGACCTTGAATGTTTGTAAAAGAAAAAAGTATATAGTTATGGGGTTAGGGTTACAGTATAGTTAACAAGATAAATAAAGCCTTTGACCTGCTGCTGGTTCTATCAAAGGATTCATCCTTAATGGACCAAAAATGTTTGTAAAATAATGTATATAAGTATATAGATAGATTATTAAAAAGGGGATGGAACCCACATACACTTAGACGTATCGGCTTGAGGCTTTGTATTCCCTTCGAAAAGCACTGATGGTTTGAGGGATACCGAGAAAGAAAATGTGTGGTTAAATTTTCAATCCCTTGAGTCAAAATGTTAATGTTGCTTAAAAGTTTTCTTTCAACTAAGCTTCTTTATTTCTTCAAATGTTCACATTCTTTTCTTGTGTTATGTTAAGCAGCTCCATGTGAGAAGATCAACGCCTGGTGACCTGAAAAGAATTTAAACAACATCATTTGATAAGCTACCATACAAAATAACTAGTGACAAACAAAAAGATGAGATACAATAGAGTTTGTCTGCATCATTTCCTAAGGTGAGGTAAGCAGAGATTAATCATTCTGTAGACATCTCTTGCAGACATCAGAGCATTGTAAAGTCCGCCTGTCTCTCTCTATGTCTTTGTGGATTTGAGTTTTGGTTTGTTCCACTGATGATGCATGAGGCTGAGTGTTATCTGTTTATTTTTGTATTTATATCTATCTCTTAGTGCTGTTTTCATGCTGAGAGCTCCCCCTCCCACCTACTGTGACCTAATCCCAAAACTGTGGATCCTAACAACCTTCCATCGTTACCGTGGTGATCTGTCATATTAATGAGTTCCATGTCACTGGGGGCAACCAGTGCTTAGTGCAGAGCCACTTCAGCAAACTGGTCTCCAGTGCCTTTCTTTTTACATCACTCAGTAGACGTTGACCTCTGCCTCTGGAGCACCGGTAGGCTGCATCGCAAACTACCTATCCCAGAATCCCCGGCTCCATTCATCTTCCTGCTGTTGCATGAAACAGGAGCCAACTGTAAGGTGACCCTCCACGCCAAGAAGGAACAAGGAGGACCATGTCACCTCTCTTCAACCATCTGGCGCTGAGATAATGGCGCTGAAGCAGGTGAGAGTGGGTGCACAGAGAGGAAGAAAGAAAGCGTCAGGGTGGATGCGTCGTCTCACTGTAACCTGCCGGCGACCCCGAGCTGAAAACGGGCCATTCTTTACATCAAATTGCATCCATTATATTGTCCTTGAGAATGGGAGAATTCCAGGCATGAAAATCAATACAATAGAGACGAAAAGGCATGAAATTCTCTCGGGAAGTGGGAGCGCCAGCTACACAGTGGGTGCCATTGTGCCATAAACTTTTCCCCCCAAAGTGGTTTCATAACTGTGTTTCTGCTGCCTCTGCAGCTACAACCACAACAGGCAACAATAGGACATTAGAGACAGTGCTAAAGTGTATTAATTTTCTGAAATGCAGAAATAAACCGTTTGTGACAGCCGGCGTTTGAGGCAGATTTTTCCTTAGGTAGGAGTTCGCTAAAATGCTAATTCTCTCCTGGCTGTAGCATCATACGTAGTAGACTGGAAGTGATGCTCTCATTTAAAATGCAAAGACAGTAAAGCTATTTTACTGGAAAGGGTTATGTAATGTATCTAAAGAGGCAAATGTAGATATTGTAGAATCAGCAAAGGACACATAAAATATCCACAAGACAAGGCTGCTTAAATTTGCATCCATAGCTGTGAGATTATTGCGTTATCTGCTTGACATCATCTGAGTCGATGAAACAATCTGTCTTAAAAATGAGGAACTCATCCCTACCTTACATTTCCCGTTCTTCACTTAATGGCGCAGTATCTCCTTTGGCTTAATAACGATGGGACACGAGGGGCTGGTTTGATTTATTGTTTTTATTTAAACTCCTATTTTCAAAGTAATATTTGCCACAAAATGACAGCTGTTGTCATTATAATATATGTAATAATATAAAGCCAGTTTCCCACCTGGGAAGAATCAAAGCAAAGTACCACCAATTCTCTCATCAGTTGTAGTCAATTCAAGACTACTAGCATTTACATTTTAGAGGGGGCTAAATATATAAAAAGAAAAACCATATACATGAAAATAAATAATTTAATACAAAGTCCGTAGTTAAACATGCACATAAAGTGACAAATCAATGAAACAGCTGTAATTATGCACAGTAGGACAGGAGGAGGTTTTATGACGTGTCCTAGTTTATGTATGTAGAGTCAAATAAAACAGGCTGTAAGTAACTTATCAGAAGAATTTGGACCGCTGATCTTTTCCAGAGTCTGAAATTAAGTTTTTAACAAAACGGTAGTTCAATGTTGGATATTGGAGAAGCCACCGAGCAACACTGGTGGATACAAAACTCTGACAATAAAGAAGTGACTTTCCTTTGGTTCACTCTCTGTGACCTGTTTTGCAATGCATTTCACAAACAGAAATCTTCATATAAACATCCCATTGTTTTCAGAGAACAATGTCGGTCAAAATGAAACGCTATCCTATGAGATAATCATCCCTAAAACTCAATATCATACAAGTTTTTCATGAAATGTATGCTTTAAGACACTTGGCCTGTCTTAAATTATAGGTTGGTTCTATATCTTAGCATTAAATGAAGCTGAAAATGACCTTTCACCAGTGCAAAGAAACATGACCTTTTTCCTTTAGAAGCAAGAAATACCGTAGGATTATCCGCGGCCAGTGTCCTGAGCTCGACACAATGAGAACATGCTTTACAGGAGAGAGGGCGTAACTCATCACCAGGTGAAGCTGCTCTATGTTCAACAGGTTGTTCCCTACAGGACTGACTGTACATGAGTGGGTGCTACGGTGTGAACTGTTACCCTGAACAGACGACGCTTCACAGTGTAGAGGGAAGCAGAGAGAAATGATTGTGATATGAGGGAAGAAAACACTGTGCTGCATAAAAAGAAAAACCGCTCTGTACAAGGTTGAGGCACTTTCAAAGCAGCGTGCACACACTATAAAGGGCAATGCGCACACACTCACCCGAACACAGACCCACCCACACACACACTCACTCACATGCTGTCAGTCTCTTTTTTTTTTTTTTTTTTCCCTACACTGAACGAGGGGGGGGGGGGGGGGGAGAGAGAATGCGTTTCAGCCAGAGTCCATGCTGAACAGCTCGATGCCGTGCGGGCTCCAGTGGAGGCCGACTCCAGAGTTGAAGACGAGGGACCAGACGTAAGGGATGAAGAAGTCCTCAGGCTGGTCTTCCTCCACGTACTTAAACTTCAGCTCCGGAAACATCTATCAACACAAAAAGGAAAAAAAAAAAGAAATGTTAGGATGAACAAGGGAAGGACTAAAGGAGTTTAAAAACACCTTATTTCATATTCAGTTTTCAGAAAGTGAATTTGCCTGCAGTTGAAGAAGGATCTATTGTTGACCACAAGTCAAGGATTGACTTTACAAAAAAAAAAAAATAGGAAAAGAAAACAGCTTAGCGATAAGAGTTTGCCTGCAAAGCTCAGTCACCTGCACGACTACAAAATCAGCCAATCACAACTTCTTGTGAAATCAAATTGGGCATTGTATTTAAATTTCAAGCACACGTCTAGACAGTTAAGTAACTTAGTCTGCGGCCCATTTCAGCCTAAAATGTCGACATGGTGCTTTCTTTTTAGATGATGAAGTAGAAAGCACAAAGGATTGTTTGAAACAATATATTAAAAGTCTAAGTTTTAGGGCTGCAAACACTACATGAATGTTTCTAATAGAACTGAGAGGGGACGTTTTGGGTTCCCCTGGTAATAGAAATGATTTCAAATTCATTTCTCCTTTTAAAGATGTTACATGACTTACATCTGGAACAACCTTCGTCGAATCATCAGTACAAAAGATAAACACCTAAGGCTGAAAAAAAAAAGAGGCTGACATTCAAATAAGCAGAGAGTTATTCTTCTTTTCTCCAGTCCTTGACTAAAACAGCTTTTAAACACAAGGGGAGGAGCCGCACGTCCCGTCCATGTAAACGTGATGTAAACACGGCTCCGACAACAACACAGCCAGCCGGGACTCGCACTTCTCACTCCTTATAAACAGTCATGACTCAGAGAGATATTTACAGAGGGTACACTTACATTTCTATACTGCTTTCTAATCTATGTTAAAAATATTTGAAAGTTGTCGTCCTGTCATAAGACCTACAGGGTTGTTGCATCAACGAGGAAAAGTTTCTGTGTCTCAGTTCGGGAATAGTGACGATACTGTATGGAGGAAATTTGGGAATGGGAATATAGAATTATATGCAATTTTAACATGATAGCCTCTTTCACACATGAGTTTTGATATTTTTCTATTTTTAGGGGTCCTCAAATTTTTCAGAATGGCTCTTTCACACATGCACCTCACAGCAAGAGATTGTCAGATTCAGACGCACTCTCCCTTCTCTAATGACACGATGAGGAGGAAGAGTCTGATCACAAGAACATATAAAAAAGAAGTTGTCATCACCCAGTAGTTTTTTTTTTAATTTAAATATGTAACTTCTGCAGCATCTCATTAAAAATAATAACAGAGCTGCAGTTTCTTTCTCGCAGTGCTTTAGTTGAAATGAACACGGCATGTGACGTCAACACCATGGAGTCATTGCTGTTAACCCCATCAGATGACAAACACCTCCAGCCACACTGGATATTTATAAAGTGTGAGAGCAGCGGAGTGACTTCTCTCTCAGATGAACTGAGGTGTTGTGGTACAGGTAGGTTCACTTGTTCAGGCCCTCAAAGTAATCACTCTTCATCAGGTACAGTAGCTCGCTGGCAGATGTAATTCCATCTGTGTGTGTGTGTGTGTGTGTGAGGTAAAATTGCTTACAGGACAGATATGGCTCTGCGGTCGGAGCACTGACCTCTTAAAGGGACGACTAATGTGCTAGCGTCACCTCCTGACCCCAGCAGGAGACTGGATATCGACAGCTAGTGTTTGGGAGAGTATACAGCAGCCAGGCTGTCGCTCATGGCTTATTCAGAAACAAGCCACAGATGAACAGGAGTAAAAAGCAGAGGTACAGGCAGGGGTCGACTTTCCAAACTTTGTCACAAAACACATAAAAACATAAGAGGTGTAACATTATTGTCTGTGCCGTTGAGTAATTTGGTGATTTCCAGCAGAAATATCCGGTCAAGCTTCAGATTGTCATGACACAGCTTATTTTTTTATTTTATTTTTTTTTAATATTGTTTTGGCTCTTTGCCTTTATTAGATTGGATAGCTACAGAGAGGGGGGGGGATCATATGCATCAAAGGGTTTCTGATAAGGTGTCTAAACAGCGACTTTAGACTCTTTACACAAGGCTTCTGACTACGTTGTCCAGAGCCTTAAACCACTTTATTATGATAAGATAAGATTAGACAGAACTTTAATTTCCCCAGAGAACATTCTGGTTCCAGGTTGCTTCAACATAACGGTACAAAATACGAGGAACACAAAACGGCATCAACCAAACATGAAATATGTTTCAAAAGTGTATAATAAAGTCAGCCGTGTGTCCATGCTGATGTCGATGGCTGTCTCAACATAGGGTTCACCGTGATATCTAGAGGTAAACAGAGCAAGCAGTGATCAAATTTGTCACTGAATAATGGATCAACAGATACAGTACATCCATACAGTATAGATTCCTTTATTTCCCTTTAGGGTGTCTTTTCAGCATTTAGTCTGGGACAACTGAGCCAGTAAGTAGTAATTTGTTCTTGAGGGAAAAAGGAGGGATTTAGCAAAACAAGGAGGTAGAAAAGCTATGGGGTGAATATAGAGATCTAGAAAAATCAGAATGCGTCTTGAAAGAACAAGGTTTACCATGAACTTACAGCAACACTACCTCTTTGGGGTTTACAATTAGCCCTGTTTGGTGTATTTCTAAAGGTATTCATTTCAGCACATTAAGACCAAATTGACATTTTAGCAAAATGATCTACATATAAACAATGAGATTAATTGAGTCAATGGATGTGATGGAGACAATGAATCTTCTCAAAATAATTGCAGTTTCTAGAAAATGGACAAAATACCGGTTTTGTTTAACAATTACTATTTTTAAATATGTTTTAGTTGACAAAGTTGATAAAACAAATGTGAGAAGCAGCAAACCGACAGATGTGAAAGGCAGACGTTAGATACATTATTACAGCTAAATTAGTCTGAGCTCTTCATTTTAAAACATATTGAGCTCTTCCCTGAAGTGCCTTCAAAAAGAAAATACTGGACGTCTTCCACCAAACCAGCTGAAAGCAAACATAAAGCCACCTAACAGCAGGTAGGCAGCGGTGGAAGAGCATCAATAATACAGAGCTCCCTCATTATATCCTCCTGTCTACACATGCACGTATACGCACACACGCTGCCGGTAATCAGTCTGCGCTGAAAGACAGACGCTGAGGGCCTTTATGCAATGGTCCCCGTCCTGTCTATTGAGTCCCTGCTGGCTCTATTCACCGCCGCGCTATCGGTATCATAATGACACAGACAGCGGGGCTACGGGGTCACAGGCCATATGCCAGGCTACTGAGGCCAGACCACACAGCACCATTGTGAAGGCTAGACACAAAGCAGGAGCTGTATTATCTGGTTTGGTATTTGTGTGTAGGTGACTGTCTCGTAGACAAGCACACCAGCTCATCAAATGTTTATATGACGCTGACGCTGACAGGTCTCAACCCGGGCTCGCTTTTACTCCTGAGCATTAATGTTACAATATCGTTTTTCACTTTAGGACACAATTTAATTCATATGATGCTCATTGTTGTCCAATAAGTACAAACAAACAAAAACAGGGGGCAGTTGATCTGATTAATGTCCTGCTGTAATCACTATGATAAATGAAAGCTTACCAGTTATGCTAATCATGTAATAAAAATCATTAAATCACCAGAATGTACTGTTGTGTAAACATACTTTTTTTTAAACATAATTATGTTTAATTCACATTTTTTATTAAAGCAATAACATAAAAAAAAAATAGCTTACCTCGTGTATTTGATCTACATAAAGAAAGAAAGTCACATCATCAATATGAAGACATGTTGTGTCAGCAGTAAAATTTGTGTTTTTAAGTTATTGTTTCATTTTATAAGAACACACCTATAGATATACATGAGCCACTGAGGCAATATAATGTTGCACAGGTTTCCATAGTTGCAGCAGGACATTAATAGGCCAATATTTCCATTTATATGCACAATCCAACCACGACTCCATCGTGACCTCGGTGTGCAGCATTCACACTCCACAGGAACAAGTGAAACAGATCAGACGATGACTATTAGCACTAAAGTGGGTTTTTGTGCTGCACAAATGCTTTGTGCTTTTTTTTTATGAATACAGGTATGAGTGGTATGACAATAGCAGTGTAGTCATAGCAGCCTTACTGTCAACCCCTGAATGATCCGACATTTTCTCCCGGGCTCTGCATTCGATGTCAGCTGTTGTCTTTTGTGGAGCTTTTTTGCTGTTGTTTTGACTTCAGTGTTTCTTGCTATTGTGTTTTCATGATGTGCTTTTAATGTTTGTCTTTGCATAATCATTATTCCTGTCTGTCTGTCTGTGCTGCCACTGACAAGAGCTGCTCAACTGTTTTTGTTGTTTTTAAAGCAATGCCAATAAAGCTCAGCCTGCTGCATCACAGACATACAGTATCCTTTAACACATGAGCAGCTTCTTTCCTCAGCTTGTGCGTTCATACGATCATTAGATTATACTGTGGTTATTTTTCTGTAGCATAAAAGGGACAACAACTTGCATACAACCAAGCGTTGCAGAATGACAAACTGATTAACCTTGTGTTTCCATTCAAATCCTTTTTGAAACTACAAAAGCAGGCTCGCTGTGGAAGTCGTTTCCATTCTTGATGCTAAGCTAAGCTAACCCTCTCCTGGCTTTACATTCAGCCTGCAGAATGGTATTCATCTTCAATAAGTGTATTTCCTAAAATGTCAAAGCTGTTAGTTTGATTTTACATAAGTGAAGCAGGCTGGAGATCATCTCAAAACCTGTCAAGAGACTAAAGAGGACCTCAAAATAATTCTCCCTGCGCCCATTAAACTAACATTTCACATAGAAAATGAGAGTTTAACATTAAAGTGCCTGGTGGAGAGGGATTTATGAACCTTAACGGCAGGAACATGCAGTCCCTTATGCACATACTAGACACTAAGCACAAAATGAAAAAAAAAGAAGATTGATCCTTGAACTACACTTGCCAACATTTTTCCTCCCACTTCTATATTGGACAGAACCACAGAGGGAA